TCCATAAATCTTTGGAAAGCTAGTGCAGCATTTCGGGGTCGAAATGGCATCCGTACAAACTCACATGATCCAGATGGGGTTGTTACTGGCTATTTTAGGTATACCTTCCTCAGCCACCGGAATACTGTCACAAGCGCGAACCAAGGCAATTTTCGTGAATATTATGGCACCTGAAGGAGTATTTGTAAAGTCTTGAGTGTGTGGTGCTGGGTATCTGTCTGGGACAGTTTGCTTATTTAGGGCTCTGTAATCACCACAAGAGCACCGATCAGTCTGATTTTCATTTGTCACCATGTGTAACAGCAAAGTCCGTTGACTACTCGAAGGCCGAATAATCCCCGACCGAAGCGCGTAATCGAACACAGTTTTCGCTATATTTAGCTCACTCGTGACCAATCTTCTTGGCTTGGTGAACACTGGCAAGCCATGTGTCCTCATGTTTTGAGTAGTTTTCAGGCCAGGCCTAGAAGTTGGAAGGTTACTTGCAGTCAGATTTGAGGATTCCACCGGCATTTTTCGAAACCTTTCGATTGATACTGGCGGAGACTGGACTTGGTTCAATGAATGGTGCTCGCTTTCTCTGCCATCTATATATCAGGATATTTCTATCATTGCTATACGTCTGTTTCGGGTATTCACTAATAAGTCATATCTTTCTATGAGTTCTACGCTGATAATTGCTACGTCTAAGTCAGCGACACTGAAACCCATAGCAGATACCAGCGGTCAAGCGTCAGTGCTCCGAATTTCGCGATCGGGTTTCACTGGGGACCTGCAGTGTGATGGGGTATTTTCATCATCCCGGCTTGGCCATCGCTTTTCGTATGATACTGAGCGCAGCTCCTGTATCGACCACGACGTCTACGCCAGGGTGTTTATCCATCATATGGAATAGCCAAATGTCCCTCACAACTTCTGAGTAGTCGCCACCTGAGAATTGGTTATTCACTTCCCTGTTGCTTGTGGTGTAGTTCAGATCGGCCACGTGGCTGTGCGTCTTCGGTTGGCTGTGCTCTAAACCAGGACTGTGATGAGGATCTGTCCCCCGAGTTCTTCCCTTGAAGCAACCATTGTATATATTGGTTTCCCAACACACACATTTTATCACCTGGCGCCTAAGCGCTGTGTATGACTGCTCGTTATAGGGAGTGGGGAATATAAAGTCCCGAATAAATAAATAAATAAATAAATTTATTCTCATAGTACAGTACATGAGGGGCGCCAGTTTACAGGCATCATCAAATTGTTGCAGAATTAGAACCATATAATTCAATCACAATTTACAGGCAGTAGCAAGATATGCCTTACATGTACGCTGGAGATTATACATACACTTGATAAATGTTAATCCCAGTAGTATAAAACAGCCTTTTCACTTATATACAATCATTTCTGTGCAAAGTTGGAAAAATCTGCTAGATTGTCAGTGAGTGCAACACATCAGGAATCTCCCTGCTAATCTCATAAGGTAACTGAGAATACAAATTTGAACACCTGGTGGTGGTGCTAATCCGGTGGAAGTAGTGCAACAGTTGAACAAACCCTACTAAGGAATCCATCTCTACAGAAGTGTTGATTTTAAGGTCAGTTTCCTTGTCTTGCAAATGAGACATTATGTATGAATTAAAACACCAGACTAAATAGCATACACAAACGAGCGAAAAGCAATCGAAGAACAACCAAAAGACAGCGACATTTAGATCGTAGTCAGCTATAACAGAATAGAACGCCAAAAATGGACGAAACGCGATCATCGATTTCAAAAATGACTTTCTCACAAGAATATTCTTTCAAATCACTTAACGATGACTCGTGATACTGTAGACGAATAGTGGTATTTTCCAACCTTTATTTTCGAAACACGGCAGAGTGCAAGTGAAGTGGGAAACTTAGTCCAACACAAGTGAACAGTATTTGTCATTCAACAGATAAAGTGAGCACTACAAATCATAGGGAAAAATATAGTTCACACTTGGTTACTCGCACCATCATTCTGAGTTCATCAATCACGCATTAAACCTGAGTGCCAACAGCATACTGTGTTGTATTATTATTATTGTATCCTTTAATTCCTACAGGAACAAAGGGCTTCAGCCGTGCGTCTCCATTGCGTTCTGTTCTCTGCTAGAGTCTTCACCTGGCTCCAAGTCTGCCCACACGTTTTCATCTCCTCTTCACATGACCTCCTCCAAGTCACCCTTGGACGACCAACTCACCGCTTCCCTTTCGGGTTCCACTAGAGCAATGGCTTGTCTAGTGATGTCACTTGATGGTTTCCTAAGAGCATGTCCAATCCATCTCCATTTCTTCCTGCCTATTTGTTTCACAATCGGTTCCTGGTTGGTTCGTTCCCAGAGATCCCTGTTGCTGATCTTTTCTGGCCATTTGATCTTGAGTATTGAGCGAAGACAACTGTTAATGAAGGTCTGTAATTTGTTTGAGATACTCTTTGTGACGCGCTCGCCAAGTCTCTGATCTGTATAGTAGCACAGACTGATTTCACATTGGAGTTGAAAATCCGAATCTTATTTTTGATGCTGAGTGCTGTTGACCTTCACATAGACTTGAGAGTAGTGAAAGCTTGTCTTGGTTTCCCGATCCTCGCTGCTTTGATATCCTCGTCAGTTCCGCCTGCAGTTGAAACGATGCTTCCCAGGTAGGTAAAATAGGTTGTTTCTTTCAGATTCCTCCCATTTATGCTGATTGCTGTCAGTTGTTGTTGTTGCTGTTGGTGGTGTTGCCCAGGAATTTTCATCACCTCTGTTTTATCTATGTTCACCTGAAGTCCTATCTTTGATGCTTCTTCTGCTAACTTGTTGCTTTTTGCTTGCATATCTTCCAGTTTGTGGGAGATCAGACATATATCATCGGCGAAGTCCAGATCCTCCAAGTATACTGTGTTGTAGAAGCTCTAAAACTGCATATCACACTTTGGCTTCGTATGTAGGAAGGGAAGGCAGTGCGGTCGCCTGTTTCAAAACGTTTGATTAAATTTAGGCAATCAACTAACCCGACAATGGTTTTAAGGTTTCTTAACCAAATGGTGCAAATCTGTATGACATCGTAGTTCTGCAACTACTCAAGACAACAGATACACAGACATTATTCGTGAAGCCAGACGTTTGTGAACAATGGGATTTCGCACAATGTTCAAGGGACTGGTTGTGTTGTTAATATGTTACTCTACATCAGCCATACCAACTTAAATGTGCCTAATTACCTGTTTTGTTTCAGTACACTGCCTAACCTGTAATTACTGATAGTAAAACACAATACATAAGCACTGAACGAGAAGTATATGTGAATGCCATTGAGTGTTAGGAATATTTGCGTCAAAGATTTTGGGACTTATTTGGCTAGTTTGACTGAACTACAGGCTCTTGGAATGTAGGCATTATCAAGAAAACAGATGAGTGCGAAGTGGAGAACGAGGCTATTCATATGTGTACACGTTCAGAGAAAATATATGACGCTTCATGAAGAACTCGCGGGCAGACTAGTAGTCAGCTTAGTTGAGACTAGGTTCTTTCAGTCTCAGCAATTTATTCTATTCGAGTCCTAGTTCCATTTGGTTGGTATAGAAGGGAGACTATAAATTCATGAGTTCCATTGGTTGTGAAACGAAAGCGACTGGTGAGACGAGAAAATATTGACACTAGTTTATTCATTTTGTCAAGTTTACCTGTGTCAAAATTATTATTATTACTATTACAATTGGTGATAGTCGTATTGGTAGCAATGTTGTCGGTTATCATTAGTACTAGTCACACGCACGCACACATCGAATACTGACGAAACTGAAAGTGTGTGCAACAAACTGACATGTGAGCGACCATAACACATTCGCTGATATTTACTGATGAGACTTGTCTTCTGTTCTCCTGAATTGCGAATATAAAAGCGTACATAGTGCAATACTTGGAAGAGAAAATGGACTTATTCTAGAAGTCATTTGACCTAGGAATTCGAAGTGGAACTAACGATTTAATATATGTGTGAGACTTGAGCACTGTAGTAGTTAGTGAGTGATTTCAAAATACGAAAGTCTCTAAGGTGTCTCTTTATAGTTGGTATGAATATGAACCATAAATTGGGTTCGAAATGTCACCCAGTAAGTTATAATACTGCTATTCTTAATCTCCTTCCTTTCTTCCCCTCGTGATTTCTTTGTGTCAAAACTGATACTACTTATTTCTAGTAGTTAGTGTAAGTTGTGTTCGTCAATTCTCTACCCAATCTTTGTTTGCTATTGAAGTTCAACTCACTCGATGCATTACTCAGCTATTGGATGTATAATAGTTATTCCCTTATAGCAGAACATCATTTGCTGTATACGATTTATTCGTGTACCTATCACTGTTGAACGTTGTTTATCCGGATCCCTTTATTCTGTGTCTGGCATTGGCGTGCTGTTTGAATAACACGTGGATCGCCTTCCACGCAGATCTGCTGCTTTTACCTATTGACGCACATTGACTGTGCTTTTTGACAGCATTCAGCCACAGACACCTGACAATTGAGGTTTGTATATTATGTTTCATATTTGATCCTTAACATGGTACCATATTTTTCACAAATCCTGTGTTTTAGGATTTTACGCTTCACTCACTCTGTGGTTCTAATAATCGTTAGGATTATCGTCGCGAATTTCTTTTAGAAGAAATTCACAGCTTCACTGCTCGATATATCTAATATACAAATATTGAAATTTCCCGATTGTACGAATTACTGTGAACGTCGGAATGACACGATTTCTGTATAAGCACCAGGAGCTCATTACACACATAACAAAGTATCGCAAGATGTTGCGGGTGTGCACTGGAAACCCCGGAGGCAATGATTACGATAGGAAGAAAGTCAGAAACATCAAATCGCAAATTCATCTTCTCTAACTAGTTTCATCACAAAACAAGATTCATTGACGACATACACATTTTGTGTGTCAGAAAGGTAGACGTGATGTGCAAGCGGAGACGGTTGATGACAGTGAGAAAAATCCATTGAAATGTGAAATATATTTTATTTGCTAGAAACTACATTACAAGAAGTGAGTACATCAAATGAAAAGTGAGTGGGACATAATAATCATCATTATGATTCCCATCTAACTGGAGTGACAAAAGTTCAAAAATACGCACAATGATAATCATCCTAATCAAGTTCGAAAGAATCGAATTCGTGTTGTTCCTTGTGTTCAACTATCTTGTAATCAGGAATGATGAGCTTGGCTGGACACAAGATTTGAGACTGCATCTGCTGACTAAACGTTTCCTCATCATCCACCTCCAGATCTGGGTGAAAAGACTGTAAATCACTGGCGTATTCTGGTGGACAGTCGACGAGTGATGACGCTTCGTTGAAACAGAATACTACTTCGTGTAGGAAAGCCCGCCCGACCTACACAATGTGAAATGGTGAAGAAGAAAGAGAATTGCGTTAATCAGGAAGTTACAAAAGCGATGATTCGTCACTCGAAGTGTGTCTCCAACACAAAACTTTACTTATCTCCGAATTTCGAACACACAAGCTCAAGATAATTAAAACCTGATTCCTTCGATTGGTGTTAGAAGCTAGCGACATGAGTTCCGGTTGTAGTTGGCGACATCAAGAGATTTGCAAATCCAACCACTACGCACCCATTCAACAATCTACACAGCAAATTTTATTCACGACTAAATGTAATGGATTGGAAGTATACTGACATGACGAAATATTTGAAAATATGTGTGCATAGAAAAGGCATAACTCACTTCATCATGTGCGCAAATCACTTTGGCCCTTGCATGGAACGCTTTCCACAGCTCGTATTCCACTTTTCCAGGCTACATAAACAGAGTGGATGAATGTAGTTCGTGAATTAGTGTGGTTGTTCAATGATGATTACACATAATACTGGTAAACGTGTTCGGTTGAAAAATTGAATGTCAACTCACCACCTGTACAGTATTCTTCTTCAATATGTATCTCAACATTCCAGCGTTCCTGAAATGGAGGGAAATGTGTGTTGATGATCGAATGTGAAAAATCACATCAAGAACTTTGTTGGTGCATCGGTATTGTTTCGACGTAGAAGAATGGCACAAAAACTCCTAAGTACATTTCTTGATTCAGTAGTTCCAGTGATGACTGGAATCTGAATCAAGACACTGACTCATCGATCCTGATCCCGATGCTACTATCCTGCTTATCACTTCAACCCAGTATGTCCCACAAATCACTGACTTCATCAGCATAAACCAACTTGTCTAGTGTGGTCCAGTGCAGTCCAGTCCCTAGTTAGATCAGTCCACAACTGAGTGCAACACACAGTACACATGGTAATGAAGCTGAGTATGGACACTGTGATTTTTGAGTGTGAGATCAGTGTGAGGATGCTTACTTTGTGTCATGAGGAAAGATAGATGGATGTGAGCTGGCGTGAATGCAGCTTCACAATCCACACAATAAAATGATTACCATAACTCGAACAGTAATAATAATAATAATGATAACGACAATTGAAAAGAGACATGTGTCGACGTACCTTGGTGTCATGAGTTTTTTGTAGAGATTAATGCTATGATTGAAGTAGAGAATTGGACTGGTTCCAGATTCACCCATCACCGTGCATGCTGCATAATCATTGTACACGTTGAGACTGAAATATGAAATTTGTGTCAGAGAAATAATCAGAATGCACTAGATCGACTTCAGTATCAGGAGATCATATCTCAGGTAGAATGTCACCACCACTGCCAACATCAAACAAACAGGCAGACACACACGCACACAACCATGGTGCTCATCGACACTTTCGTCAACCATCCACACATCTTCACACTAACTGACTTCACTTCGCCGGAATTGGGATTTCGAAGTGTAGGTGTGTCAAAAAGGCGATCACAAATCCCTCGGATGAATCAGAATAAGCAGACAATCGCCAACACACACATACACACGCACACACACGCACTGCTTCGCTCTGATTGGTGAGAAAACACGGGAAAGTCCATGATATGCTTAGTTGTGTGAAACAAAATAGCAAAAGTGAGAGGTGACTCACTGTGCGAAGAGTTCATGAGTTGGATTAGTCCAATAAGTATTCAGATCAGGTATTTCATTCTGAAGATGCAAAGGATAGCCGAGAGAAAATTAGAGTAAAATAGTTAAATAACAATCAATGTGTGCTATGCCTGATGCTGTTTCAAAAGTCCTGCCAGTGGTGCAAGTTATGCAAGTGAATGAAATGGTGAAATGTTGCTGTGTGCGAAGAAGCTATATTTTGAAGACACCTGCGTAAAAGGTCAGTTTCGCCAACTTACAATATCCTGCTCGAAGAAGTGGAGACCACTTGGACATGCGAAGTCAGACCAGTCAAAGTGAGGTGATGCTCTGAAATTGTGAAATAACTCAGTATTAGCACAAAAGATGTAGCAAATAATATTTATACACCGAAATCATCCTCGGGACAGAATCATCACTTCAGTCACACATCACTAAGCGAGCATATGTGAAAGTGTTCTTCGAACAAGTGTCTACCTAAATAACATGATATCGTGCTTTAGCATCTTCACTCAGTTATCCCAGCTTTGTCAGAGTTTACTCACGGAAAATTCTTCGACATCCGATCAACATATAAATTATCTAATGTATACGAAGTGTGCCCCATATTATATAGATAATTTGAGAGGATTGATTGTGATGATATTTAGGCGAACTTTACAGACCACTGTGTAATCATTCAGAAGCATCATTGCAGTGCAGCCAGTCACATATCCACTCACATTCACCTGTCTTCTTGTGATGGAGTGATTCGCCTTGCATTACACTGACTGTCTGAATGACCACACCAACTGTGCACATTGGTAAAGATCAAATGTGCATTATCATCATGAAACAGGTCGACTGGTGTCAACTGATTCATCTTATAAGTGCCGAAGATTATATTCTCAACTCTATCCGTGTTCACATCCCTTAGTGAAATACTGAAATATATAAGAGAATACATACAACTCATTCATTGTATGTAAAAGGAGCACCACATCACGATGATGTCGGAGAATGTGTCAATGTACAAAAGACAAATACACAGTAATCTCACCTCAATTTCGAAATATCCATAGTTGTTCTCTCCGGGACAGTACACTGAAAAGCAAATTGAGATTTTCATTGGTCGATTGAAATTAATTTTACTGATGAGTTCCGTCGACGTCAATCTGATTTCTGTGTATGTGTTTGTATTGATTGTACAGAGTGTCGTTATGTAATTCGATAATGGTTTGTCATGAAACGCCTCATGCACTGGCACCGATTGATGTTTCAGATATATGGTTATGGTTACAAAGAAGAAGTTGTGTATCAAGTAGCATTCAACGAGTTTGACTCGTTCACCAGATGAATGGAATGGACGTGATACATGCACACTCTAGGTTCCCTCCACATCGATCTATGGCTGAACTCAGATGCAAGTATGTGTGACGTTGGTTGAAGAACTCTCACGTCGCCTATTGACGAATGGACGCACTAGCATTCATCGAATGAACCTGATGGCTCACTGACACAAAACCGTATGTGACTGCTTATCCAGTGACTGAACAGGTTGGTTTTGTGATGTCTGTGACGCTAACAAACACTGTGAAGACATGTCTACGTTAGCGTAAATAGTTGACGAATCGAAATGATGAAGTGATAATAATAATAAACATGGTCACTACAAAAAGTATGTGCATGTGTAAACGTACATATCTGTTGAAACAGTGTGTTGGAAGCCAACGTAAATGGAGCATGTATGTCTTGTTGGCATTGGATTCAGCGAGTAATGTGTGGATACACACGAGAAGACTGAGAATGAAGAGTCTGTAGGGAAAGGAAGAGAATGAGAGAGACATGCAAATTATGACTAGAGTGAGTGCTTCAATGCGGTTTCCGAGCATTTTATGCTTGACCCAATGCTCCGAATACAAACGAAACAATAATTCTGCATGTGTAGTGACATACAAGGAGAAGGTGCATGGCTCATTTATGAATATAAGAAATCACATTGATCATGGTAACTCACTGCATGATGTAGACGTTGAAATCTGAGAGAAAAATAAACAGTCACCATTTGATATCGTAATGAGAATAAAATCATTGAGAAAACAAATTCCGTGCAGACTGTTGCGATTCCTTGATGAATTCATGTTGCATACCTATTCATGTGTACATGTGAGTGGATTCATGTGCTAGTGGATGTGTTGTAAATGTGGAATATCCTTCGCCTCAGCTACTACAACAGACCGACTTGTACACAGTCAGTGTTTCAGTGTGGCACATTATTGAGTATTTCATCAATTGTGTGTGCTTTCAATGGATGTTTTGAGTTGAGTGCATATCTCACATCATGTCCATGTTGATATTAAATGCGCCTTCGTCCACTGATATGAGTGCATATTGTGAGTGAACGTCATAGGGAATATCGCATTTCAACAGGGTGTATTCTCATTGTCAAGACACTTGACAGTGAAACAACCACACATGCATCTCACCGACTATCTCTGACCATCTAGGAGAATACAGTGAGGGACAAGTCTCCTTCCTCAAGTGAGAAGACTTTCTGCGATTGAATATCAGTGTCGTGCAGTTCATGTATAGAATAATGCATCATGATGAGAGCAAATAATATTGAAAACGTCGTGGACTTACCTATTCTCAGATGTGGTCTGCCCGTCTGCTCAAAACAATGAGTTGTCTCTGTGAATAGCCAGTCTATTTATACCTGAGTCAGCTGAAGTCTCTCAAATGCAATTGGTGTTTTATAAATTAATTTGGCACACAGATTATGATAAGATGATGAGAAATGAGATGAAGTGGAATACATTTTAATGGAATGTGAGTTGACGTGAAGTGAAAGTATGCGGTCGATATGATTTTGTTTTTCATTCTCTTTCAGAATATTGGCCAAATGATAATTAGTGTAAGAAGTGAGTTGTTTTCATCGTTTGTTTCTGTGTGATTTAATTGCATGGAGGATTTCATCATGAGCTGACATCAGTTAGAGAACCACTGGAAAACCTGGGAGTACTGTACAGCTGTTTCTGTGTGATTTATCTAACCAGCAACTGAATGGACGTTGATTTGTGATTTTCAACGACTCATCGACAGACGGTGGGAGTGAAGTCGTCTTCAGAATGTGATGAACAGTTCACAAACTTCGTCCAAATCGTCACCATCCGTTGCAGAAATCGAGGAGGTGGAAACCATGAAGTCACGAACAGTAGCCAGAGCTGTTATGCAGTGTGAACAAGTCTCCTACAGGACAATGACAGCAAGATTCAACTGAAGAGCAAGGAAGGTTACAATTATCCAATGCTACGCATCATGCTACAAGCAATGCGGTACAAGAGAAGAAGAAAGATTCCTATAGACATTTTTTATTACAGCTTGATTGCACACCGTATTTTTTGGTACAGGTATGGAATTTTCAGCATGTGATATCGGTAGCCCAAATTTCGCAGGCCGAACATAGATATCAGGTGTGCGTTTGCAGGGGATCGAACCCCGGACCATGTACATGGTCGGCGAGAGTCATAACCGCGAACATTAACGGACAATGGTGACCATCAAAGTCCCTATGTGAGATACGAATGTCCGCCAAAATGGGAGCAGACAATACAGGAAGAGAACTCAACACAGGTCGAGAGACTCTCACCTGGAGAAGTGAATGAGAACGGAGAAGACTTCGCAGTTAAGTGCATCCTTAATGATTTGGTGATTGGAGGCAGCGTGTAAAAGCACAAGGATATACACAAATTAGCATGGATTTCACCTGACAGACACGCCGAAAACAGATAGACTTGATCTCAGTATCTCCCAGGAAAGATGAAACGCAGCCTGCTGAGCACAAAGTCGAAAGGCGGAGCAGATGTGGGATGAAAACATCATCTTCTCCAAAGAACATTCAAGGCGAACCTGAAAACTCCGAAGGGACCTGGAGATAGACCACCATTCAAGTTCAACACTCAGAAACCGAACGGCGAAATCACAATAGACACCTAGACACCATCACTGCAGCCACCAGAGCGAATTCAGGGACATTGCGTAGCGTCGTTGAGGACACCTAAGTGGAAGAATATTGGCGCTAACTCTCTGAAGGCGATATTCAAGGAAACGTGTACAACTGATCTAGGAAGAAAGATAATTAAAGACAAGGAATGGCTTTCAACGGACAGCTACCTGGAAGCTAATCGAGGAGAGTAGGATGGTGAAAGAAAAGATGACTCACTGCAAAGATGGACAACAGGAGGAGAAGCTGAGTTCAATGCACACTGCACTGGATAAAGACAGAGGTGAAGAAGAGTGATAGGAAAGACGAGAGACAATTCTACATTACACTGCCAACTGAAGCAGAACAAGCAAGCAGGCTGCAGGTGAACGAGACTTCAGAAAACTACATCAGATAATCAGTTCCTTATTCGGGAAGACAACAATGCAGATGAAGGTTATAAAGATGGTCAGGGGAAGCGTACTGCCAATGAGGAGAGACAACTAAGACAGTGAACTGATCACTTCAAAGGACGCTTTAATCAACTATGACCACCTGCAACTCATTCAGGAAAAACCACTGACAGCAGGCGAAGGACGCCCACTGGACACCAATCCACCGCTGAAAGAAGAAATCTTGAATGCAATCGAGCCACCGAGAGCCATCCTGGAAAGCGACTGGACAGCATGAGAATCCTCCTGAATCACTGATATCTGTCCGGGATACTGCAGCGGATATGCTGACTTCATTATTGCGAAACGTCTGGAAGGAAACCTGCCATGTCAAACTACCACCGAAAAGTGAGTTAGGCCACTTTCCGCAATAACTGACGTGGAATCATACTCTTATACATGCCAAGAATAATACTGAATCGCGTCTTCCTAGACATAATAAAAGAAGCACTGGATGCAGAACTCCGTCCTCCAGAGCAAGCTGGATTCAGAAAAGGCAAGTCGAGTGGCGACTTTACCCATCATCGAATAGAGCATAGAATTGCAACAGAACAACCACTTCAACTTCATCGAATCTGAACGGGCATTCGACAGCGTTGACCGCGAAGTAATTTGGAAACTACTTTATCAATATGGAGTGCAGTGCCAGAAATCTTCAACAACCTCATTCAACAGCTAAATGACAATGCCAGGTGTCAAGGGAACAATGAAGGAAATCTCAGTCAGGCCTTTACAGAGAAGTTAGTAGTGAGATAAGGCTGTCTACTACCACTGATGATATTCCTGACTGTAGTGGACTGGATTATGCATCAGACTGGGGGAGGACAGAAGACCGCTAGACCGATTAGAAGACTCTATGGTATCTGGACTTCGAGGACGATCAATGTCTGATGCCACATAAATTCGATGAACTGCAGGCCGAAGCCCACATGTTGGCAGAAGAAATGACGAATATGGGACTTCAAATGAACATGCAGATGACAGTGGTGACGAACATAACCAACAAACAAACAGGGTCAGTCACAATCAACCGTGGACATTTGGAACAGGTTACTTCCTTCACTGATCTCACCAGGAAGAACCCTTTCAACAGCAGGCGACAGAACACAAGAGGATCTCAAAATAGCAAACATCGTTAGTCTCCACAGAAATACAGCAGTTGGATACGTTCTATTCACCCAGATTGTGGGCAGAATGAGAATTCGTCCGGTCTCTCTGTAATATTTTCAATGTTGTTTATCGACCGTGACGATCGTCGCATCTGTGAGTTAAGGATTGAGGTCTGGATGATGCTTACCAAGTTCAAAGCAGCACTGTTTGTAATACATTTCAAAGAGAAGCTGTTCATATCTACAATATTTATGTTCTATTTCAATTTCAACTAACTTTCGTTTTAAAATCTGATCGACCTGAGATAAGACATAATTTTGATGCTGAATATTTATATGACACATTTGTCAGGGTGTTGCTAACTTCAGGTGTTCACCTGAGAGGGTATCCTGCGCTATGAATTTTAATAGTGTCTCATATTCTACGCAGATTACTGCTTTTAAGCATTAACATAAACCATTTTGACTGTTCCAGAGACGAGTTCATTCACCGTAGATCTTGCGATATTATACAGAACTGCATCTGCAGGATTTTGATCTCCTCATTTGCCAATATCTCTGGTTGTTGAATCGGATGTGAACATTCTTTGTTCAAGTGATCAGTGATTTTCTGATCTACTTTTCAGGCAGAGGAAGTAGATTAGACTGCTGGCAGGTGGTTTTCACCGTTTCATCCATGAGTATGCCAGTGAACAGCGAACGAATCATGTGAAATCGGAATCCTTGAATTGTACACCATCAGTGTTGTTATTGTTCCGTTTACCGGCATTCGGCTTATTCGATGAATATAGATTCGATAATCAACCTCTGTGGCCATCTGGATATATCACTTTTCAATAATTTAACCATATCCCACCCTAATGTGTGGTTGATTATGTGCAAGTGAATGCATCGCAATGCCTGAACTTTCTCGTAAGTTATTCGACCTAACGTCGTCAATAATTGTAGCTTTAGAGAAATTCCCGTCTCCCAACCATCTTTGAGGCTCAACTATCCAATCGACCTCACAGTCATTGCATGATACTTAGTATATTGATCATAGGATATTTCTCGTAATTCGATATATCGAGTGCTTTAGTTAACAAAGTCTGTCTCTCATTGAGCTGGTTGGTTTGAAGGCTACCCTAATTCCAGCTTGATTAAGATCCCTACGTAGGGCTTCTCATGTTCCCTCTTTATGTGGCAGTACTATAGATATTTTAAATTCCTTATTATCCGTATTAACTTCATTATTTACACTACAACACTTTTTTCCCATAGAGGTCTTTATGTATACATTTTTGAATAAAATCTGGTGTGTAGTTATCCACAGTTATTCTTGTTTGATTTCATTGTTGAAATCTTCTGACTTACGAGCTGGTCTCCTAATTCGACTTTTCACGCAAATAAGTGAATCTTACTAAACTGATCACTGATGAGCTCATTCCTTGACTTGAAACTCAACAGGAGTGGCTGATGTTCACTGACATTCAAGTTACATTTAAACACTAATACTACTAATATTCGCAGTGGCAGTGGTGTGAAATATTGTAACACTCAGATACTACTACTCATACTAATTAAAGTAGTAGTAGCATTCATATCCGTAGGCGGTGATCGTCAATGATCTCCAATAAACAAACTGAGCATGCCTCTGTATTGACGGTGTGGCGTGATCACATTCCACAATGTGATAAACAATTTCTCTAGTTAATATACTGGAATCTCTCCTCATCTCATCGTCTTAATTAATTAATTATTTATCAGTTTGTTGACAAGAGATTTTATAAAGAGAAAAGTGAATTAACCATGAGAATGACCTGAGTGAAAGTGGAACTAGGTTAATGAATCACGCAATAATGTGGTGATTAGAAGAAATAAGAGAAAGAGTGGTGTCATTCTGTGTATACACAGGTATGACAAAGGAGTATGATGGCCGGATCATTGAGATGCTTGCATTGTGATAGCAGAGCACAGAGATATTTGGCATCAGTGTTGTTCATTTGGCATATGACATAATGCGACGAGAAATTGTGAGAAGCCAACATTGAGACTTCGTTTGTTGTTGAGTGAACTGATATTCTGCTACCTCCGTCCATGCTTCATCCTCTGTGCATTCCTTCCCAATTATCTAAATTGTTTTGTCTTTACGACTAAATCAGTTGCCTCACTGTTCGAGATTCCCACAGAAGACGAAACCAATATTCTACTCACACGTTCTTGTCTGCAGGAGAATATACACTCTGGCATTAAATGTGGACGTGCTTTCGAGCCATCTAAGAGAGACACGTATCATTCAGTCGGTTTCAATTTGTGTATTTCAATCAGATTCTTGATCACCATTTTCGGAATCAACTGGACAGCATACTGTGATGTGAACACTCTTCGATTCCGGAGGAAACTACGGTGAAATCATCACCCTTGAATTATGCGAATTCCTGTTGAATTGGCCACATTTCGAATGAATCTGCATATTGTGAATTCGGTTTCTGATATCACATGACCAGCCACATAATTAGCTCGAAGGACTGGTTTCAACTGATTCGTCTCTCAGAATATTGTTGGCACATACGATGAACAACGGAACGAATTCCATTCTGAATTCTGTTTGTCATCGCAAAGTTGGTCCCTTGTATCTGTTAATACCAAAATAATGCTGTACTCACCCTCTACTACTGTGGAGTTTTATAAATTTTTGAACCCTTATTAATTGATGAAATGATAGTGATCACAAGGTCTGTATCCTGTGTGTCTTACTCTAGCACCTGTGTACCACCTCTCTTCTTACCTTCCATTAACGCAACACTTTGTAATTCCCCCATGAATTTGACTAACTATAAGTATATTATAGATTATAATTTAGACTTGAACCAATATATTGTAATCTATTCTAATAAGGTTTCTAGAGGCTATTTTTTTCCATCTTTCCAATTTTTAATGTCATAAAACAGTGTTCCATTTCAAATTGCACTTGTCAAATATGATCATGCCTGTACAAACGGTATGTCAATCATGTAAATGCTTAATTTATGTGAAATATCTTTATATTATATTATATTATATTAGCTGAATGCAACCGGCTACACTACGAATGAACTCAGCATCAAGTCAGTGAAACAGCCGTCCGGTGTTTAGATCGCTTATATGAATAAGTAGTGTATATGTGTACAGATTCTTTTTAATATACAAAAACTATCACAATTTATACATTAGGCAAGCAGAAGGATTGAGCGAAGACATATTCACTTTTCAATTAGATCCTCATCTCTGGCTCAACCTTATAATCTATAGCATTTTTATTACAATACACAACAATTTGCCAATCAAGTTGTACTGATATGTTTGTTAACAATAATTAATCAATATCACCATGTCGATGTGCAAGTGGTAATTAACGAAAAAAATTAGTACACACAATTAAAACGTAGAAATGGCTGCAACACACGGATTGCGTAATGCATAATTTTGGGAAAGTGAAGAGTAATTAAAGAATAAGCTTGTGCACAGGTTCATTATCTTACAGATCTTTAAAGGAAATAAAACGATTCGAACAAAGAAAACTTGTAATAGAGCATGAAGTGGTCATTAGAAGAAAATAATTTTACAAAGATCAGATTTAATCAAAGATGAAATACTCACAAAGATTATAAAATCATTTGCATAATTATAATATTTATATTTTATATAGTTTAAGGGGGAGGGAGACGATCATGATCAAGGTAAGGGGAAGTGGCTGTAAAAATGTCTTCTGAACACACAGGTTTGCCTTCTTCACGTGGATTCCTATTGCTCCAACTGTATGTAGAAGACCAACTCCTAAAGCAAAATAAAGGTTAGTAGGAATGCGATAAATAATATTAAATGCAGTATTAACGTCAAACTTGTGCTCACTAGGTGTCTACAAGGTGTGTTAAAATAGAGCTAGGAATAGATCTTGTTTGTCTCTCGCTTAGCGATGCTGGATGATGTTCGGAAATACGTGGATGAGCCTGCCTAATTGTATGCCCGATGCAGCTGGCTTTTCTAAATGCATTCGAGAATGAAGTCCAAAGAAATTCTCGCTTCACTGAGCCACGCCCTGTAATTCAGATACTCATTGAACACCTTTGACGCAAATTCTTGTTCCGAAGATTTCACTATGGAGAAAATCCCCATTTAGACATTTGGAAAGCAGAGGGATTGAGCGGAGAAATATTTACTTATGAATTGAATTGCTGAACTCTCTAGTTGTTCACCCTACATAGCTTTCTCCACAGCAGCTGCAGCAGCTAAATTTGTAGATACACATAGAAGTGGCACAGCTGGGCAGCTTGTCTTCTGCTTCAGCAATCATAAATCGTTGGCAGGAATATGCCATACACAAGGTGGCGGCAGAATCAATCCACGTTACTGCTCTCGATAATCTTAGATGTAGCAATTCACTAGCCACGTCGTCATTAAATTGCGATTTCAGGAAATGTTTTTCCTTTATAACTGTTGTCAGTTCCTCTGTATTATACATAATGTTCGTGTGTCTCCTTCTATTGTGGATGAATCCTAATTCATTTTCAAAAGGAGTAATCTGTACAGATCCATCTTTCTTCGTTCTGGAGGTATCTGACCAAATTGATTTAGTATCGGATTGGAACAAATCTGAGGAAATGTGTATATTGTCTTACTGACGTAGGTTTTCTACAGACATCTCTCTTGAGTGAACCATCCTGTCTTCTGCTCAATTGGACATCAAGGGAGTGTAGTCCATCATCATGTTCTTCTTCACAAGTGAAGATGGGTGATGGATGTGCATCGTCACATTTTATTAACATTTCATTCTTGTCAGCGTTTCCATCAAGAATAATAAACGTGTCATCAACATAACGAAGATGAGAATCCGTTTTATCTGTTAGCTCATTCGATGGACCATGTATGAGTCACGGAAGCAAGAAGTCTGACGAAATTGCACCGAATGTTGAACCAACGGCTATAGTGTCGATATGCTCGAAACAGAAGTCCTTCACTGTGAAGTCGCACACAAAATGTGTTTTCGATGAAGTTCAGTTACAGACAACTCACAATCAAGGTTTGCACTATAAATTTCATTATTCTATGTTTAATACAGTAGCGTAGTTCAGACGAATCCTGTGTTTTTGGAATTTATGCGTCACTCTATGTGTGGTTTGAATAATCGTCCCGAATTTCTTTTCGAAAACATTCACAATGTGTGACTAACACACAGAGAATTTCAGAAATTAACTCCGTTCATGTTCCATCTACATATGTC